GGGATCCAGAAATGAAAGTATACAGTCTTTGTTCTCAAGGGACTAAGTCTAGTTGATGAGAAAGAGGAATAAAAAACACTAATTACGGTATTGGTCGTGGAGTGGTCAGGAAAGTCTTCTTGGAGGAGGTGATAGCTGAGCTGCAAGGATGAGTGAGAGATGAAAATGAGATGAAATTAATCTCATTCAGAATACGAATTTTTGGGGGTGATGATACCTTTCTTTATACAAAAAAAAATGGCAGAATAGGAAACCCCAGATTTCCATCCCTCCATCAATGAGCTAGTAAAAACTGTCAGAATCAACTTTTACAGAGCTCTGGAGTCTAGTTGAAAATTTGCAACAACCAGAGCAAAGCTTAATAACAGAAGCAGGTGCATTGCAGCAAAAGAATTTTCTGTTTTTTTTTTAATTTTATTTTCTGATGTTTTAAATGACCTACTTGTCCTTCTCCACATACCAGATTGGAGGTGGCCATGAAGAAAGCAGCCTGAGGGGCGTCTGGGTGGCTCAGTAGGTTAAAGCCTCTGCCTTCGGCTCGGGTCATGACCCCAGGGTCCTGGGATCGAGCCCCACATCGGGCTCTCTGCTTAGCAGGGAGCCTGCTTCCCTCTCTTTCTCTGCCTGCCTTTCTGCCTACTTGTGATCTCTGTCAAATAAATAAATAAAAAGTATTTGAAAGCAAGCAAGCAAGCAAGCAAGCAAGCAGCCTGAGCAACTAGTGAAGGTTGCCAAGTACCTGAGGACCAATACAGACCTTATTCTCAAAGAACTGTAGCTGTGTATTTCCATCTGTCTGGTGGATCCCTGAAGGACGGGTGTACAAGGGTTTGTCTTTGTTTTGCCAAACATAGAGTGTTGCCAGGTCTGGGGTAGCTTTCCAGATGGCATTTGCCAAAAAGCACTTAAAAGAATTGGCCATATGAGCCTGGGGAAAGGGCAGGGAAAGGGCTAACAGGACAAACAGATGGGTCAAAAAGGCTGGGAAGAGAGTGGGAAAGAAGGTATGTGGGGAAATGAAGGGTTTTTCTTTTTTTTTTTTTAAGATTTAATTAATTAATTAATTTGATGCAGGAGTGGGGAAGAGGAGCTGAGAGAGAGGGACAATCAGACTCCACACTGAGCAAAGAGCCCAATGCAGAACTCCATTTCACGACCCTGAGATCATAACCTGAGCCGAAATCAAGAGTCCAGTACTTAACCACCTGAGCTACCCAGGCGCCCTGGAAGTGAGGGCTTTTAAGAGCATGGGCCCAAGATTGGATACGTGCTCAGAAAAGGCCTCATCCTCAACGAAGATCCCAAACTTTCACCTCCAGCTGACCTTTAGGCTCTGCACAAGCAAGAGTAAAGGTGAAAGCAGTGTTGTAATCAGCCTGACTAAGCATTGAAGGAGTGTCCCAACCCAGAGGCAAATTTCCAAGAGTGGGGAGCATTTAAATTTCTGAAAAAAATATCTGGGGGCTTCAGGTATTTATAGATACTCTGTCAATATACTAGCTGACCACTGAGCTAATGGAACACGGACTTCAGTGGCCATACATGAAAAGAAAAAATTAGATACTTCACAAAAATCATTTAGAAAAGTGACTAAAGCAACAACCTCAAACAAGCAGCAACAACAAACACAACACACAAAAATTGAGTCAATTTATGTATATGGACTGAGGTAATAGTCTACTTTCATTCTTTTCAATGTGGATATCCAGTTATATCAGAACAGTTTGCTGGAGACTATTGCCTCCCCACTGAATGGTTTTGGCACCTTGTGGAAAATCGATTGCATAGATGCATGGGTTTATTTTTGGACTCTCAATTCTATTGCATTGATCGGCTTGTCTCTATGATAGTACCACTCTATTTTGATCCTCTAACCTTGTATAGTAAGCTTTGAAATCAGGAAGTGTGAATTCTCCAACTTTTTCATTTTAAAGATTATCTTGGCTATTAGGGTCCCTTGTCCATGTTATTTTGGGATCATCCTTAACATTTCTGAAAAAAGAAAAAGGATACTGTTTTCTTCTTAATTAAAGATTTTATTTACTTATTTCACACACACACACACACACACACACACACACACACACACACACCAAGCAGGGGGAGCAGCAGGCAGAGGGAGAGGGAGAAGCAGACTCTCCACTGAGCAGGGAGCCTGATGTGGAACGCAGTCTCATGACCCTGGAATCATGACCTGTGCTGTAGGCAGATGCTTAACAGACTGAGCCACCCATGTGCCCTGCTACTGGGGTTTTAATGGGGATTTCATAGAATCTGTGGATCACTTTGTAGAGTGTTGTCATCTTAATAATATCTTCCAATTTATAAGCACAAGATGTCTTTCTACTTATTAGGTTTCCTTTAACTATTTTCAACAATGTTTTATAGTTTTCAGTGTAAATCTTGTACCTCCTTGGTTAGATGTGATTTTAAGTGTTTTCGTCTTTTGATGCTATTGAAAATAAACTTATTTTCTTAATTTTTCTGGAAACGGAATTGCTAGTAAATAGAAATACCACTAATTTTTACATGTTGAATCCTGTATGCTCCTACTTTGCTGAATTTATTAGATTTAGTAACTTTCTTAAGTATTCTTTGGGAATTTTTATATATAGGATCATGTTCTCTACAAAGAGAGAGAGAGAGTTATACTCATTCCTGTCCAATTTTGTTGTCTTTTATTCCTTTTTAAAATTTTTAAAAAACTTTTTATTTTTTTAAAAGATTTTATTTTATTTATTTATTTATTTATTTATTTGTCAGAGAGAGAGAGAGCACAAGCAGGCAAAGTGGCAGGCAGAGGCAGAGAGAGAAGCAGGCTCCCCACTGAGCAAGGAGCCCAGGACCCTGGTATCATGACCTGAGCTGAAGGCAGCGGCTTAATCGACTGAACCACCCAGGCATCCTTTTTTTTTTTTTTTAATTCCTTTTCTTGACTGATTGTTCCGGCTAGAAGTTCCAAACAGCAGTGATGAAAATAGCATTCTTGTCTGCTCCTGATCTTAGTGGAGATCTTTGAGTCTTTCACCTTTGAGTATGTTAGCTGCTGGGTTTTCATAAATGCCTGTTTTCAGGTTGAGGACGTTCCTTTCTATTTTGCTTTTTGAGATATTTTTCTCATGAGATTGTGTTGCATTATTTTGGATTTTTTTTTGTATCTGTTAGATGACCACACGGGTTTTTTCCTTCATTCTAGTAATGTGGTGTATTATATTAATTGATTTTGATTTATTGAGCCACTTTTGTTTCCTGAGAAAAAAAATCCCGTCTAGGAGATTAAACTTTTTAAAACATTTATGATTTATCCCTTTTTATATTTTAACAATTTTGGTCTTAAATCTTTGATATTTGGAGAGCAACTTTAGCTCTCAGTTGATTACTGTTGGTATGGAATATCCTTTTCCATCTTTTTACTTTCAACTAGTGTGTATCTTTGAATCAAAAATGAATTTCTTAGGGACAAAATATATTTGGGTTATGTTTTTAAAAAAATTAACTATTCTGTCCATTTCTGCCTGTTAATTGTAAACTTTTTACATTTAATATAATTACTGATAAGGAAGGATTTGCATCTTGCCATTTGCTTTCTAAAATGTCTTATATCAGGGATGCCTGGGTGGCTCACTCAGTTAAATATCTGACTCTTGATTTGGGCTGAGGTCATGATCTCAGGTTCAAGAGATAGAGCTCTGTGGCCAGCTCTGTGCTCAGTGGGGAGTCTGCTTGAGATTCTCTCTCTCCCTCCCCTGCTGCTCCCCCACTCACTCTCTTTCTCAAATAAGCAAATAAATCTTTAAAAAAGGTCTTATATTTGCCTCCACCCCAATTCCTCCACTACTGCCTTCTTTTATGTTTCATTGACTCCTTATTTGGTAATAATTTTTATTTCCTTCTCAGCATATTTTTTTAGTTATTTTCTTAGTGTTTTTGGGGGGGGACTTTAATTAACATGCTAATGTATAACAGTCTATTTTAGATTAATATAAACTTAATTTCAATTGGTATAAAAAATCTTTCATTCTGTACAGTTTACACTGTTATTGCCACAAATCACATCTTTATACATTGTATGCCCCTGAAGACAGACTTCAATTATTTTATGTAGTCATTCTTTAAATGATATTTTGAAAAAAGAGGAATTACAAAATGCACGAATACTATTTTTTGTATTCATTTATGTGGTTACCTTTAGCATATGCTTTATTTCTTCATGTAGATTCCAGTTACTATTTAATGAAGCTTAAAGCACTTTTTCAGCATTTCTTATAGGGAAAACCTGATTATGAGAAGAACATTTACTCTAAAAGAAGAAGAGAGACACCCTCTGAGAATAGCTGATCAAGTAAACATGAGAGTGAATTTATATAGGAGAGTTCCGGGCATTCATAGCTCAGTCACTGGATTTTCTTGATGACGGGGACTCCAAGTTCGTTTGTTCAGGTTGGCAAGGGAAGTGTATAGACAGTATGACTGACTATATTGAAGGACTGAAGTAGTTCCTAAGAATTATGGGAGACAGAACTGAAGAATTATGGGAGACAGTACTGAGATAAGAGCAGAACTGTACCCACCTATGCAACTCTACCACCCAATTAGGACTTCATTCCACCATGCTGGGTATTGATTGTCCTGAAGTTCTTAGAAACAGATTCTTCCATAGGCTCGCTGCAGTACCCAGTGCAGTCATCTAGCCTATTCGCCCTGTAAGGGGATCTCTGCAGAGGGATGTGGATCCCAGCAGGCCTTGCGGGGTGACTCGGGATCGTCTCTGTGACGTGTAACACCCTCGCCTGGTAGAGGTTGGTGTGGTGAGGGAATCTGCTTTACACTTTGTGAGGAAAACGAGGTAGAGAGGAAAGAGGCTGAGAAGGACTGGAAAGGGACTTTGGCAGGACTCAGTAGGGAGCTGAAGGGTGGACCTTTACTGGCGGCAGCAGCGGCGGCATCGCCTGTGAGGCGGGTGGTTAACTAGGCCGCAGCAGTCGGTTAACTAGGCCGCAGCAGCCATGGCGGTTGACTTTGGGGACCACGCCAGCGGGTTCCGCCATACCGAGGTGATCAGGTTCATCAACAATGAAGTCCTCCTGAACGGCGGTGGCCCAGGTTTCTACGTGGCCTTCCGCTCACGGCCCTGGAATGAAGTAGAGGACCGGCTTCGGGCCGTGGTGGCGGACCCTCAGGTGCCGCACGCCATCAAAAGGGCCTGCGCCTGGAGCGCGCTGGCCTTGAGCGTGCGTGTGAGCGCAAGGCAGGGGGAGCAGCAGGCGCGCCGGGTCCGGAGGCTGCAGGAACAGGTAGAGGAGCGAGAGACCGCTGCCTGGGCCCTGGCCTCCGAGCTGCAGCGGCTGCGTGCGGACCGAGAGGAAGCGGCCACACAGTTGCGCTTCACACGGACCGCCCTGCAACAGGCGCTGATGGAGTGCGATGTGCTTCGTGGGCGGCTGCACCAAGTGGAGAGGTCAGCCCAGGTCAGCCCGCTGGCCCATGAAACACTGCCTGGGCCTCAAGCTGAGCAATTTGGGACTGTAGCCTGGCCCCTGAATGCAGAGCAGCAGAGAGATGTGGTTGCCATGGGGTTTCCTAGTAGGTTGTATTTTGAGGCCCAGGTGCCTGCCCCGGCAACTGTTCTTTACATGCCAGGACCTCCAGGTCCCTGCGCTCAGGCCATACAACCCCCTGTGCCAATGCCGGTGCCATACCCACTTCCATTCCATGCACCACTCCCAGTGGGAATCCCTTTCTTGCCACCTCTGCCACCAACAGTAGTCATGGATGCAGAAGCTGCAGTAGTCCCACTTCAAATGCCTCCTGTGGGGATTTATTCACCTGGTCCAAATGCTGCAGTGGGCTCCCAGGAGGAGGTGGCCCCACCATGGGACCAAAAGAGTTCTAGCCAGGAGGGAGGTCCTGAGACCCTCCAGAATACAGTTCCTGTGGGGAACATCAGAAACCTTAGCCAGGAAGGTCTAGAGAGAACTCAGGAGATGGTCCCCCCTGGAGATAGCTGGAGCCACAGCCAGGAAGAAGGTCCAGAAAAGGCCCAGGAGGTGGTCCCCTCTGAGGATAGCTGGAGCCAGGGCCAGAAAGAAGGTCCAGAAAAGCCCCAGGAGGTGGTCCCCTCTGAGGATAGCTGGAGCCAGGGCCAGAAAGAAGGTCCAGAAAAGGCCCAAGAGGTGTTCCCCTCTGGGGATAGCTGGAGCCAGAGCCAAAAGGAAGGTCCAAAGAAGGCCCATGGGATGGCCCCCCTTGGAGATAGTTGGAGCCAGAGCCAGAAAGAAGGTCCAGAGAAGGCCCAGGGGATATTCCCCTCTGGGGACAGCTGGAGCCAGAGCCAGAAAGAAGGTCCAGAGAAGGCCCAGGAAGTGTTCTCCTCTAGGGATAGCTGGAACCAGAGGCAGAAAGAAGGTCCAGAGAAGGCCCAGGAGGTGGTCCCCTCCAGGGAGAGCTGGGGCCAGAGTCAGGAAGAAGGTCTAGAGAGTCCCCAGGTTATGGTTCCCCTTGGGGATAGTTGGAAACTCAGCCAGGAAGATCCAGAGAAATCCCAGGAGGTGGTTACCCTTGGTGCCAGCGAGGAAGAAGATCCAGAGACTTCCCCGGAGATGGTATACCTGGGGGCCAGTGAGAGCCACAGCCAGGAAGAAAGTCCAGAAAGACCCCAAGAGATGGCCCCCTTTGGTGCCACCAGGGACAATGGTAAGGAAGAAGATCCAAGGGGACCCCAGGAGATGGTACCCCTGGGGGCCAGTAGGAGCCATAGCCAGGAAGATCTAGGGAGGCCTCAGGAGGTGGTACCTCTGGGGGCCAGCGGGAGCCACAGCCAGGAAGAAGGTCTAAAACCACCCCAAGTGATGGCCCCCCTTGGTGCCAGTAGGAGCAAGAGCCAGGAAGAAGATCCAGAGGGGCCTCAGGAGGTGGTACCCCTGGGGGCTAGAGGGAACCACAGCAAGGAAGAAGATCCAAAAATCCCCCAAGGGATGGCCCCCTTTGGTGCCACCAGGGACAATGGTAAAGAAGAAGATCCAAGGGGACCCCAGGAGATGGTACCCCTGGGGGCCAGTGGGAGCCATAGCCAGGAAGAAGATCTAGAGAGGCCTCAGGAGGTGGTACCTCTGGGGGCCAGCGGGAGCCACAGCCAGAAGGAAGGTCTAAAAAAACTCCAAGTGATGGCCCCCCTTGGTGCCAGTAGGAGCAAGAGCCAGGAAGAAGATCTAGAGGGGCCTCAGCAGGTGGTACCCCTGGGGGCTAGTGGGAACCACAGCAAGGAAGAAGATCCAGAAAGACCCCAAGGGATGGCCTCTCTGCGGGACAACAGTAGCCAAAGCCAGGAAGAAGATCTGGAGAGGCCCCAGGGGACTAGCCAGGAAGGTCCACAGAGGCCCCAGGAGATCTCCCTAGGGGATGGCTGGAGTGAAAGTATGAGGGAAAGCCCAAAGAAACAGCAGCCTCAGGGGCAGAAGGCCAAGCAACCCAAAGGGAAAAAAGCTTTGGATTTCCAGCACCAGGAGAAGTCTGTCTCAGGATGCAGTCCAGTGAATTGGGACTGCCCATGGTGTAAGGTCATGAATTTTTCATGGCGTAAGGCCTGCTATAAATGCAAGAAAGTCTGTGTGGCAGGTGAGAGTAGAGGCCTGGACCCAGGACAAATTCACTGATTTCAAGAAGGTAAGAATGAAAACACTCCAAAAAAAAACCAATTTTCCAAGACCTTCTTCTGATCAAAAAGTAACTTATTTACTTCACAGAGAATGTGAAAACCAAAATTATTGTAGAGAAAATAAAACAATCCATTATTCCAATACTGAAACTAACAACTTTTTTTTTTATCATTGTGGGTACTTACATATGTAAATACACACTCCTTTCTGGTTTCTTATTAACATCCTTTTCCTGAAAATGCCATGTCTTTGGCTGGGAACAGCCATGTGTTTTTTGACTTATAACTATATTGATTTTTTAGGAGCACTGCTCTTCCTTTAAAATGCTATTATTCCTTTGTAATGCACAGTGTTCATGTTTGCTTCTTGTTTTTAAGTTTTATAGGTGAGGGCCTGTTTTTGTGTCTCTGAGCCTGCGGAACTTGTTTGTTGTTGAAGAAGCTGAACACATCCCATTAGAAGATCTCCCAAGAGTCTAAAGAAATCACACCTTGATTCCAGCTGACCCACACCTCACTGAGACCCCCATTGACTGGAACTGAGAAGAATGAGAGGAAGTCAGGAAGAAGAGATGCTCTGTCACTCATTAGCGGGGAAAGGAGGGCAAAACAATTTTGTTAGAGTGTAATTTCTCTGTTAGGATTAATTTGAAAGAGTTGAAGTGGGTATTGCTGTATTAAATTCTATAGATGATAGCAAATTTGATTACATTTAATTCGTTAAACAAATAGTTACTGTCTAGTATCTGTTAGGAACTAGACTTATATGTTAATACCTGGTGCACACATTATAACTTGATTTGGTGAGTTTGGTTAGATAACAGGAGAGAGCCTAATTTGGGATACAGAATGTATCAGGAAGATGTCTTTGCCTTGCATACAGCACGATTTTCTGGTAAACCCAATTGAAATGACATCCAGATGTGTGTGTGTGTGTGTGTGTGTGTGTGTGTATTTAAAGATTTTATTTATTTATTTTTGAGAGAGCGAGATCACAAGGTGGGGCCAGGGGAGAATCAAACTCCCTGCTGAAGAGGGAGCCAGATGTAGGGCTATATCCCAGGAACCTGGGATCATGACCTGAGCTGAAGGCAGGTACTTGACCCACTAAGCCACCCAGGCGCCTATGTCCAGATATTTTTGCAGTTCCGGGAGTAACATCAGGGACTTTCATGAAAGGACTTGTGTCACTGAATTGCTCATCTCACTGTTCACAAGTGAGACAAATGAGCAGTGGCAGAGATCAGGAAAGTGGCTTCATGAAAGTGCAGGTGGGACTTTCCGATATTCTTTTGATTTCTTCCTTTTAGAGGGACAGCTCTCTTCCTGGTTGCCTGAAAGACTGCTGGGTGACTTAAAGAAAGACAGTGCTTGAGGGAGTGTTGGCTACGCACTCAAGCCCTCAGCTTTGGACCACCATCATCTCAAGCTCCTTTCCAGTCAAGATGGATGAAGAACAAAATGGATTCCAAGGGCGGACATCGTGCTGTGAATGGTGCTCCTCTTGGGAAGACTGATTGGATTAAGAAAGAACTGGACTGGGACAAGCACTTTTGGGAATGCCCCGGGCCCCTTCTTTTCTATTTGGTGTGTTCCCTGTAGGCTCTCGGCTCCCCCGAGGCATGTAGAGCCCAGTGGGTGGGAAGTTAAATGGTCTCCTGTTTGAACGGAAGGTGTTCTTGAGATTCCCCCATGAAGTCCCAGCTCGCCAAGCTCAGCCTCTGTCAGAAGCTTCCTGGTTCTGGTAATAAAGAGTGTGCACTTGCCCTCTGGGTCTTCTGTGTGGTGTGCATCTCGGGGCAGGTTTGCTCCGGGACAGCAGTTTAAACCCACATCTTCCTACCGTCCCACCAAAGCGAAGGAAATTTCGATCTTATTCACTGTTAGAGGGCCTCTCCTCTTCCAGTGAGTTACCCAAGGCTGGGAGTGGGGGAGCTTCTATGGGACCTTCAGTCCATTGTGACTGTCCCTGTTCCCCTCACTGTCTGAGTCCATATGGTCCCTGCTGCTCCTGGGCCCAAGGGTCATGAGAGGTGAGGTGGGGAGGAGGCTTCTGTCTAAGCTGGGAGCCCGGATGCCTGGTATCCTGGTTCCCTATGTGTACCATGAAACTATTTCCCTCAGGCCAAGTCTCCTAGAGGTCCAGTGAGCACAAATCTCCCTCCTACATTTCTGCATTGCAAGGCGCTGTCCCCTCCTATGCACAATCCCATCAAGGTGCTTAGGATTCTGGAAAACATTCAGGTTTAGATGGCCTGTTAATAAGACAAATGTTCCCTGAGGTAAAGGGCGGGGTGGGGGTGTGTGGAACCTGGCTGCCTGCTTGGTGTAGGGACAGGGATGGGGCAGAGAACTGGCCCTACCCCACCAGCTTTTTCTCTCTCCTCAGTCCTGAGGAGAGGACTGGGAGGACTTGCTTACTAGAGGGGAGCATTGTGGGGGAAGAGGACCATCAGGGACATCAACCTAAAGCTAGGTTTTCTGAGCTAAGGGTTGGTTTTGTGATACTCTTGTGTATGCTGATAGCTCCCTGGAATTTTGGGAAGATGATACATAGATGGGACTTGGGAATTTTCCAGTATAATCCACTTTGTACTAGCAGGTCACTAGATCTCACTATGGTTGCTTTATTTATGGTTTTGAAAAAACTCTGCTGTTTGTTGGCATGCCTTTAGGGCTGCATGAAAGCAGACTCACCCTGTGCGTAGCTTTTATATAGTTTAATATTATTACAGTCTTTCTGGGTTGACATTTTCCAAAACAACCTGAATCATTAAGGTTGTCAAATCACTACTTTTTTCTGAGCCACATATACACAAGAAACAGTAGCAGTTTCTGAGGCAAGAACCTGGGCTTTGGGATTAGAGAGACCTGAGTTCAGATACTTGTGATGCTATTCACTAGCTGTGTGACCCTCAACAAGTTACTGAACTTCCCTGAGCCCCACAAAAGTGGGTTGCTCCTTTCCCTACTCTCAGGGTTGTGCTCTGGGTGCTGTGGTAACGAATACAAAGCATTGTAAAAGATGGCAAGAGCTACCATTGAGTACTTATTATATGCCAGGTGCTCTAAGCACATTATCTTTTTTGGTGACTCTAAGGTAGGAATAGTTTCCCATATCAGCAGTTCTTCAAAGTGAGTATGATTACCCCCATTTTACAGATAGGGTAACTCAATACCCAAACTTGGGAACTGGCGAAGCCTGACTTCAAAATGAAATTGTACCAGCTCTAATTCCTCTGCTCTTTCCATTATATTCCCATACCTTAACCTTTTACCCTTACTGAGTAATACATTTGCATGTCACATGGGTCATCAATGCCTAAATCCAGTGACAGGATTGTAATGGAGAGACTTGGAGGCATAGTAACAGTCTGGTGGTCATGGTCATGCTGCTCTTTTAGAATTTCTCAAGCTTTGTGACATGTGCCCAGCTTGGCTGCCAGTGAGTAGGACCACTTACTATCTCCAGACTGTGGAACCAAGAGGTGCTGGCGGTAATTTAGGCAGTGGAGGCGATTTGTATTCCATTCAGCAGACTGGCCTTATGAAATGTTTATAAATAGCCGAGTTCAGTACTGTTAAGATAGAGCCCATCTTGACTGCTTATCTGAAGTCTGCCTGAATCACTCAGTTTTTGTTTTAAGTGGATAAGGGGCCAGCTGTAACAGCCTAATATATATGCACGTATACTGTTCAGCGAGGAAGCAGGGGGGGAAAGGAGACTGCAAAAGCTTCCCGATTGGTGTTGCAAAATGGGGACTAGAATTGACTTTTTTAAAAAATCATGGTACTAAATCTATGACAGAATGGCAAAGAAATACATAATTTCCTTATCGCATGCTTTGTAAAGTCTCAACACCGAATAGTGGCAGATTCTTATTATGTGGTGCAGGCATTGTGCGTAGCACCCGTGAGTGTTTTTCTCACTTCTAGCACATGATAGAGTGAGGGTGTCCACTGGAACTAAGCCTCACATAAAATTAAGGATCCTGAAACAATCCTGGCCTGGGACCTTAGGAGGTTGCGGTTGAACAGATTTTTCTCATTGACAGTGCTTGTTCTTGGGCACTTAAGAGAAGTGTTCAAGACCACGATGAGACAGGCATTGGAAACACTGCCACACTGAGTATCTGTACCCCCAAGGGACCTAGTACAGTTCCTTGAGTACAACTTCCTATTGGGTTCATGCTGGAAGCACTCTATTCAATGAGCCTAAGAATCCCTCCAGTAGGTCAGATCCTGGCCCATCTAGCCCAACTTCCCTGGTCCATAAAGCAATTGTAAAAAAGGATCATATACTCTTCCTGGTGACAGTTTTAGAGGGAAGAAATGCCTGTAGAAATCCCTATATTTTTATTACTTTATAGATCAAACAAAGAGAATGCATGTAGAGAAGTCTTTGGATGTGCTGGGCACTGTGTTAGACAACATGGAAGTCATTACTATCTCCCTCTATAATCTATTTGGTTAGAAGAAATATGACAAATATACACCAAACAGTAGTTATCAGCCTTTTCATCAATTATTCAATCATATTTTCTGGCCTGGAGATGTCAGTTTTCAAAAGATTCTGTGTCTCAAACAGCATTATTTAATATGTGATTATTCTCTCATTTAAAATTAAGAAAGCATGTATATCTCTAAGGTTCCCTCACACAAACTTGATATACTTCCACCTAAAAGCAGTCATTTGTCATATAAATTTAGGATTTTTGTGGGGATTCAGTGAATATTATTATCACTATTATTATTACATGCAGCCTAATCACAGGCAAATGGACCGTTTTCCTAGGTTCTTTGTGATAGTGACAATACCTTAGAACCCATCATTAGTACCTTCTTAAACTTCTATGAACTTTGAGGATGCAAATTAGGAACAATTCTGTAGAAAGCTAGTAGTTTTAAAACATGATAAATACGAGTAAGTGTTAAAGGATTAAAAAAATACATGTTCACTATGTATTTGGGGTTGCAAAGCTTCCATGGTAGTCAGATGGTTTCAGATTGTGCCCCCAGTCAACAGAAAAAGTTGCTGAGAAAGTTAACTTTGTTTTACTTTGAAATAATATGCAGTATTACAGCTTTACTTGTGACATTCTCCAGTTCTTTGCTTTTTATGTTTATATCTACTATTTTAGGTTTGATTCTTCATTCTATATACTACCTTACAAAAATAATTGCACACAAGGCAGAAACCTGTGATTATTTTTGTGGTAGGCAGCATTTAACCTTACCCCAGTGTTTATAAAGTGATGACAAAGAGCTCTCTGAGGGTTTTATCTCTAAGTAAAAGTTTTAGGATATTTAATCTCATTTACTTTTTGTTTGATATATATTTACTTTGATAATTTCAGTGACCGTATTGGTTTCAGGAAAGAAAAGGATTGAGCAAGGACTGAAAAGTTCATACCTTTACCACTACAATTCCTGATATTGTCTAGACAGTTTTGAAACTTCAGGACATATATGACCTGCTTTGTAAAAGACTCATACCACTAAACTCCACACTGATCAATGTTTCTACCACTTTTCATAAAATATTTATTACTGAGAAGAAAAAGAAAAATGATGCCAACGTCAC